AAAAAAAAAAAAAAAAAACAATAATTTTTTTTATAAATAATACATTTTCATTATAAATATGAACTACTTTTTATTTAATTTTTACCTTCAAATTATTTATAGTTTACAACATGTTTATGTTATCTCGTGACATAATTAAAAAATAAAAGCATCTAAAAACAATTCTCCTAAAGACTAAAGGCATACTTGGATACAAATACATCTGCTTAAAATGTGTTTATTAGTTAACCAAAGTTAATTTTGAAAAAGTTAGTATAGTTAATTGTTCGGGATTTTGAGTTTATATTAAAACAAAATAATGAAAATTGATTTATGTAAAAGTATGAGAGAAGTGAAATAATGATTCGTTAAAATTATGTGAATTGATGAATAGTGAAATAAAATTGATATGATGTGTAGGAATAATTGTTTGATATTATTTAATTATATTGAGGATAGTGAAGTGGGTTAATGTTGAGTTAGATTTTGAATATAGATTGAAGATATTTATAAACAAACACTCCTTAAGAAATCGTTACACATATGTATTGAAAAATTTTGCTATGGAGCCATCGGATGGTTCGACTTATGGAGTCATCCGCACTTATTCACCAATAGTGTATTGACACTTGTCCTGTAATAAATACAATTTGGACAGGTGTCAATACATTAAGTGGTGGATGGCTCTATAAGAAAACCATCGAATGCCTCTATAGAATTTTTTATGTATTGAATATAAACTACAATAAAGCCAGGAAAAAAAAGGACATTAAACCATAATCAAACCATAAAAAAAAAACATCTTTGACTTCTCCTTCATATCACAGAACAAGCACGCGGCGGCTCATAGGCGAGGGGAGCATCTACGAACACCCTTCTAGTTTCTTAAGTCGATGGTTGATTGGACCGGTTAAAGCCAATGTAATTGTCGACCACTGCTGTTGAACCACACCTCCGTTAATGGTCGTCCATCGACGTCGTTGTCGTTAGAGATATAGTTGTGCCGCTTAATAGAGTTTCTCATTCCAGTCATCATGCTGCTCCCCGTTGAGTCGATTTCTAACCGATCGTCGGTGTTGTTCCAGGACTTGACCTCTCGGCTGCCTCCGTCAATGGTTGTATGCTTGTTATTGTAGATGTTTGTGTATTTACTGTATTAGCCTTAGGCTATGTTTAGCCCTAATTTTGTGTATATATTCTTGTTAATAAAGAGTTGTATCATCCGATTGAGATGATTTTCACTCCAAACTTTGTCTCGTCTCTCTCGTATCATGGTATCAGAGCCTAATTTCTTCTTTTTCGATCGCAATTTTTTCCAGTCAAATTTGATCATCATCGTGATTGTGTCTGTCTGATCGATCATATTTTTCTTCTTTAAATTATTCCCCAGCCTCCTCAGCCAAATCACCACGAAGAAAAGCATTGTGAACATCCATCTGGTGAACTTCCCAATGCTTAGCAGCAGCCACAGCCCGTAGCATCGGTCCATAGTCGCGTTTGTTGTCCTCATTAACTCGACAGTTGTTGCGCCTCTTTCATTGCTACGTCTTCAATGTCTGATTTCAGCACCGGTGGTGGCCGCGATTGTAATTTTAGTGATGGTCGTCGTAGTGGAGCTCGCGACAAGAGTGATGCTCGTGCGAATGCGGCGTTCTCCAGTGGTATCGGTGATTCGTTTGTTGCCGGTTTTGTTGGTTCTTCTACTGCTAGTGGAATTTTGAGTGAATCTGATCGTCTTTCACTTGGCGGTTTAACCAATGAACAATGGGCTCACTTTGTGTTTTTGGCTAATTCTGCTAAACAAAATTATCCCTTGTCTGGTACGCGTGGCTTATTTTATTGGATGTACAACTGTGGGGCAACTCATCACATGACAGGGTTGTTGGAGTTTATATCTGATATTCGAGATATTCCCGCCCGTCCTGTTCAATTGCCTAATGGTTCTTTGACTATGGCTAGCAAGGCTGGGACAGTTTATTTGGAATCTCATATCACTCTTTATGATGTTTTATATGTGCCCAGCCTTTGGTGCAGCTTGATTTCGTTATATCAGTTGCTGAAAAGTTCCAACTGCACTGCTCAGTTTACTAACAAATTTTGTGTTATTATGGACCGCACTTCGCAGAAGGTGATTGGCGCAGGTGAGCAGTTGGGGGGTCTCTACTTCTTTCGAGGGACGGCTTCTACGGCAATTTCTTGTGTTCGGAAGGTTTCTGCCGATGTGTGGCATCAACGTTTGGGCCATCCGTCTACTCAAGTATCGTCCCAGATTTCTATTGTTGATAATAGTTCTCGTAATTTGCATAAATCGTGTGATGCGTGTTTTCGTGCTAAACAACATCGTCGTAGTTTTCCTCTCAGTCAGACTGTTAGTCATGAGATTTTTCATTTGATTCATTGTGATTTGTAGGGCTCATATCGTGTTCCGTCCTTCTGTGGTGCACGATATTTTTTGACTATTGTGGATGATTGTTCTCGTGGGACCTGAGTTTATTTATTGAATGATAAGACGTAGGTTGCTTCCACATTGCTGAATTTCTTTTCTATGATTAAGCGACAATTTGATAAATTGGTGCGTGTTGTTCGTATTGATAATGGAAGTGAGTTCATGTGTATGGCCTCTTATTTTCGTCATTAAGGGATTTTGCATGAGACTGCTTGCGTAGGCACCCCTCAGCAGAACGGGCGTGTGGAACGCAAACATCAGCATATTCTCAATGTAGCTCGTGCTTTGTGTTTTCAGGCTCATTTGCCTCTTCCTTTTTGGGGTCATTGTGTTTTGACTGCGGTTTATCTAATAAATCAGACTCCTTCCTCGGTTTTACATGGTAAAACCCCATATGAGATTCTTTATGGTTCGACTCCTTACTTGTCTCATTTGCGGGTTTTTGGTTGCCTTTGTTATGCTCATAACCAAGATCGTAATGGTGACAAGTTTGCTGCTCAGAGTCGTTGTTGTCTATTTGTCAGTTACCCTTTTGCAAAAAAGGGTGGAGTTTGTATGATTTGGATCGTCAGATTTTCTTTGTCTCTCGTGATGTGGAGTTTCTTGAGACTCAATTCCCATACTAGTCATACTCGTCTGAGCCAGATTCTTTATCACCGCCTCTTGTTGTACCGGTTTCTTCTGCACTGGATGATGATGAGGATCTTCCTATTGTCTCTCTGCCTCATGTTTCTCCTGACATTGGATCTTCTGCTACTGATATAAACACGTATGACGGGGGGGTTTCTGTTACCACTACTCCTCCCATTCCTCCAGTGGAGCCCTTTGGTCGTGGTCATCGGACTAAGGTTCCTTCCACTCGGCTGAAGGATTTTGTGGTTGACACTGTCAGGCCCTCAACTCTACCCCCCACTACTTCTCCCCAGACGTCTCCATCCTCCGATACGCCTTATCCTATAGCACATTATGTTTCTTGTGATTCATTCTCTCCCGCTCATCGAGCTTTTTTGGCTGTTGTCGTCTCCACTGTTCAGCCTCACACCTTTTCTGATGCCGTGACTGATCCTTGATGGCGAGCCGCTATGCAGGATAAGATTCGTGCCTTGGAGAAAAATGGCACGTCGGATGTAGTTTCTCTTCCATTTGGGAAGCGTGCGATTGGGTGCAAGTGGGTCTTTAAGATCAAGCATAAGTCCAACGGTTCCGTTGAGCGCTATAAAGCGCGTCTGGTGATTTTGGGCAATAATCAGGTGGAAGGTCTTGACTATCATGAGACGTTTGCTCCCGTCGCAAAAATGTTACAGTCCGATTATTCTTGGCTGTGGCTGCTGCTAAGCATTGGGAAGTTCACCAGATGGATGTTCACAATGCTTTTCTTCATGGTGATTTAGCTGAGGAGGTTTATATGAAGTTTACCCCTGGTTTTCGCTCTGCCGTTGATGGGCAGGTTTGCCGTCTTCGTCGTTCCCTCTATGGCTTGAAGCAGGCTCCCCGCTGCTAGTTTGCCAAATTGGCTACAACTTTGAAGCAGTATGGTTTTGTTCAGTCCTATCATGATTATTCTCTTTTTACACTGCATCGTGGTTCTCTCCATCTGCAGGTCCTGGTCTATGTTGATGATCTGACTGTTTCCGGGAATGATACCACATCCATTGCGGCCTTCAAGAGTTACTTGGGTCGTTGTTTTCATATGAAGGATCTTGGGTTGCTTAAGTATTTTCTGGGTATCGAGGTTGCCCGAAATTCTTCTGGCTTTTTTCACTGTCAACGAAAGTATGCTCTTGACATCATAGCTGAAGTCGGACTACTAGGGAGCAAGCC